TATGAAATTTCAAGCAGACTAGAGACATAACCTTGGTTCAAAAGAAAGAGATAGCATCCTAAGAATTTAAAATGGCTAAGAAAGCCCCTTGGGGGACATTCTGAGCTTTTGATTGGTTATTCATGTCATATATAGACGTTAGTGTATATAAAGGACCGTTTCCAAATGTGGAAAGAGGTGGGCAGGGTGACACTGTGTGATTTATTACATGAGCAACATTTTAGCAAACAGAAAAGACAAGAGGTTATTATTTTATATTCTAGCTTGTCAATATTGGTAATTTGAGTTCCTAATTTGTACGACTATAGACTAGGTAGTTTGGCATCACAAACATCTAATTTGAACTAGTGCTGCATTCAACATACCATGTGACACACAAAAATTAATGTTTATCTGTTTTTTTTTTATATTTACATTTAAATTAAGAAATTGAGTAATGTATAGTACTAAAATCTGAATTAATATCTATAGTTTGATACCACACTTATTGACATAAATTCATGAAATAGTAGTTCAGTAAAATTTTGAATGCGAGTCAACAAATGTGATGACATGGCCTTTCACCCATGGTCCATATGGAAAGGGTTAAGAAAGTTGTCTGAAGAATCTTAAAGTGTAAAAATCTAAATCTAAAACAACAGCTGAAATTGTAGCATTTAGTTATAAACAATGAATTACTCTAAGAATGATGGATAAAACTTCTGGTTTCTCATGTCGTAAAGTTAAAAAAAAACACTTCTTATTCATTACACAACCAATAATGAATTTATGTTTGCACTTTGACCTAATATGATTGAACATACTAACTGTATAACCACAAACACTAAGCAAATACATCTTGTAAAAATACTTAATAAATTAAGAAAACAAAAACAATTATTTAATGTGGTAAAGCGGAAAGTACTCATCACACATGCACAAGTGAAAAATCAGCTGGATAAGAACATTATATAGAAGTGAACAAAATAAACTTTAGAGGAACATGTAAGAGGTCTACTTGAAATCCTCTAGCATTCACAAAAGGCAACTTTGGTGGAAAAGCTATGCTTATTTCTATAATTAACTTATTGGTAGTGAGTATATTAGTAAAAACAAAACAGTAACAGCTGTATTTTAAGACAGGATATGTACTAAAAAAATAATAATACTTAAGAGTTCATTCTTAACTCCAATATTTGACAACTCAAACTTTCATTAGAACACATAAAACCAGCCATAATAAGAATTAAAAATATGATTTCATTGAAACTCAATGAAGACATTAAGATATCTTTATTTTAAAGTGAATAACTTTCTCTAATGTTGAAGGCAACCTTTTTTTACTACAACACATTAGAATTATTTTGAAAGAGAAGCAGGAATTACTACAGTAGCCGTGTTTTAATATACAGTGTATACCTGTAACTTCTTTGCTTTTTCAATACGTGCTGTAACACGCTCTATGGCAGCTACCCCTTTACCTAGCTGTTCAAGAAGTTCTGGATTGGTTTCTTTTAGTATCAAGAACAGTTGGAATTGCCTAATAAAATTTAAAAAAATATTACTATGTTATTTTACACCAAAGTTACTTTCTATTGAAATGCTACAATTTTGTAATTTTATCTCATGTTAAATATTTTCAAATGGAGATTTGATAATCTTCACACTGTTACAAAATGGTAATTAATGAATACATGTATATCAAGAAGTGTTTACTAATACTATATTAACGTGTTTGAATGCAATTTATTCTTCTTTGTCATAACATGTTAAAACACACAAAAAAGAAGAAAGAACATTTATATTTGGTAAGTTTTGAAACTGTAATAGTTTTCAATATTGATTTTGTTTTTCAAAGTACAGGATAAAATATCCTGTATGATAATATTTGTTATTTAGTACAGTATGTTAACTCAACTTGGGTAAGGCTTTAAAATGTACTGTGTTAGATGATAGTTCATGTCAATATTAAATTTAGAATATAAAACAAAATTGACAACACAAATTAAAAACTTGAAAAATCTTGGATAGTTCTATAAAAGGTCTTAACATAGTTGTCATTCAACTGGCATAGATTCAGACTATCATTATTTGTACATTGAGTTATTAATGAAACTTTTCTCTAATTAATGTAGATCATCAGGTTGGCAAAAACATGACAGCAAACATGTGATAATGCCATATGCAATACATCTTACAGTGTATTAAGTATAAATAAAAATAAATCTCACATGTGTGTTGTTGTTCAGTCTATACAGAAAACTTAAGCTATTAGAGGTTACTATTATTATTGATATTTTCTTTATGTTTTTCTTGATAATTCAAAGTCTTAACAATAAAATAAAATTAAAGATGATTTGTTTTTATACTTATAAAGCACATTAAAATTAGCTGATTATAATATTGTTTTCACTTCTTAAAAAAAAATAAGGTATATCATAATATAATTAAAATAATGTTATGTGAAACAACCAACTTAGTTTGTACAATACATATGGCTTATTTACAAGTAATGTTGATTTGTATCAACAGGTATTCAACAATGAAAAGAAGGGAGATTCTATGAGTTTATGTAGACTGTACTCGATTATAAAAAGTGACATCATGGATGATGATTCTGCAACACTGAAAAATAAAGAAGCTGGAGGTCTATCCAAGATGATGTTATATCTAACAACATACCGTAAATCCATGTTTGGTTGGTTAGCTTTGATCATCTGTTCAACAGACGCACAATACTTCAAAAGCTTATTTTTCACACTGTCTAACGACTGGTGGAATTCAGGTAAAGCAGGAAGTGACAAAACCAAAAGACATCGGAAGGTATTTGTAAAGTCTGCTCCAGTAACTTCCATTGTTTTAAAAAGATTTTGAACCAGTTCTCTACAACAAAGAAAGATGTACATAACAGTTGAAAGTACAGTACAGGTAAGATGTTTTGTTTGTTTGTTGTTAAGCACAAATCTACACAATGGGCTATCTGTGCTGTTCCCGCCACAGATATAAAAACCCAGTTTTTATTTATAAACCTTCAGACTTACCACAATGCCACTGAAGGGTTGGTAGGGAGTTATTAAAAAAACATGGATTTATTATGAATTATGTGCCTATTAGAATGATCACTGTCATATACACATCACACATATCTACAGGCACATGAGCTTTTACCTAACACACTAGACCTTGGCCAGAAATTAACTAAATATTAATATTTAAAATTGTTAGCATCTGTTTCATGTCTGCACCTAGTCTATATATTGCAAGTATAGCTTATTACATTGCCCAAAACTTGCCTATCAACAATATATTGTAATTATGAACACACACAAAGATGACTTCAAAATTTAGAAGTATTCTCAATTTACTTGTATAAAAAAAAAAGCAAATGGTTTCTTAAGGTGGGTCTCTCTAACAAGGTATGCCTGTAATGTAGATGTAGGCCAGCTGCTGAAGCAAGGGTGACAAGAAGTTACTCGATGTGATGTAAGTCAGCTGCTGAAGCAAGGGTGACAAGAAGTTACTCACATCAGATTATTCCCTAATGGAGTTTTTGGTAAAAGTAAAATTGTAAATTGTTCTATTTTTGATTCAGGACAATATGCTTGACTTCAAAGACCAGTTAGGTGAACTAGAACTACTGCAACACATTTTATTAAATGCATAGAATTGATCATTTCAGCTATACTATCAAACAAAAAATAAGCAAACTGGCTCAAAACAATGATTATCATTTTATACATAATTTTTATTGGCCACATTATTTTCTGGACATTTTTTATATAAGTAAGCTTTGATACAGTAGCAGTAAAAAATTTTCTACAGTGCATAAATAAATGCACAGATGAAAAGTAATATTTATTCTTTCTAATTAAAGTTTTGTTTACAGATAAAACAAGTAATATGTTTGTGAAACCTTTTTAGTTTAAGACAACTATTTTGCTAGGTTCAACTAGCATCATCAGTTGAATACAATTGAGTGATGGAACGAAACCACTACACGTTATAGCATCAAGAGCGATACTACATCACTAAGCAATAAAGTAAAAACAAATCAAACACAAGAGTTAAGTGGGGAGAAATTAAAAACATATTACTTGTTTTATTCATAAACAAAACTAATTTTCATGTTACAAGTTCTTTCCTTAACCTAATTTTTTTTACCTGTTTCTTAAAAAGGCAGATGTAAAATTTACATCATTACTTCTAGGAAACTGAAATAATACAAACAACAAGCTGTGCATTAAACTTATCATATTAGTTAAAACCACAAAAGGCCAGACTTTTAATCTTATCAACTGAGCCAAACAAACAGACGGTCATGTTGAATCTATTATTGTGGTTGATCAAATTCACCCAATTATTATACCAGTCATTCTAATCACACTAATAAGATATCAATTAGATACCTCCTGTTTAATGTAGTTCTTGAACTTTGAAGCTATTCCAAAAGAACATAACATACTTAAAAGCTTTTTGAGAAATAAATGTTACAAATGTCGATAACTTCAGCTAAGCACTCAACACAATTTATAAAACCACTAGTGAGATATTAAATCATGAAAATTAATCCAATCTTGAATCCACATAGATAATTTTCAAATGTTAATTAATAGCGACTTTCCAAATTATCCATAAAAGAAGTAAAAAACTTATACCCAATACTCTCAAGTGCTGATTTAATGAACTGGATCACAGTATGTGTTATTATGATACAAAAATTTAAAAATAATAGGAGCTTCAAAAATGTAATTCAGAAATTCATCTCATCTGTTCTTATTTAGTATACTCTGAGAAAAATATTTTAAATAGATGACATATATGACTGACAATCAAGGTGTATTAACTAAACAAAAACAATTAAAATTATAATGCATCTTAAGAAAAAAAGTTATCTGGTTCATGTCAATCATTTGTACACGTTTAAATTATCTTTTAATCTATACATATAAAGCACAAAAATGTGTGTATATGTTTGTCTGTCCATTATCTAACTACTTTTAGGTTGCTGGGCCAATCTCAAACTTTGTGTGATGATAGTTTAGAACAAGGGGTATGTCAATGGGGGTGTCACAACCCCCCCCCATTATTGCTGTTATTGAGCACTTATTATCTTGCACGTGAGTTAACTACATTCATAGATGGGACTACGTCCTTACACAAAAAATAAACTTTATTAAAATTTTCATAACATAACATACACACAGTGTGTAGGAATGCACACAAACATCTTGTATATCTCAGAGAGTGTGCTAGCACTCTCTTTGGAGGAATGCAATGACAAAAATAGCCACTGCTATTGCAATAATACATAAACTCAGATGAAGTTTTTACTCTAACAGCCACCACAAAGACTGATATGAAGAGCCATTTCTTGAGTTACACCAACTTCCTACTTTCACCCATAACCTTACTATTTCAGCCTGTAAGACACTTTTGCGGCCAATGACTGTGGAAGGACAGAGCTGGGTGTTGAAAGCACTCCTATGACAACTACTTCTTCCTACAAAGTCACCCTGACCATCGCACAGTGTACACCATGTTTTAAGTATATACGTATTGAGTTCTTAAAGCTTATACAAAATTTCTGGTGAGCTAATGATAAATACTGTAATAATATGTTATATTATAAATATATTGTGTGGAAGTTAGGATTTTTGTGTTATTTATCTTAGTATCCACTCCCACATTTTCTTAAGTTCATAACCCAGACAAAGGATGGGTACATAAGCTGGTGAGAAATATTTCAAACTTTCATGTAAAGTGACTGCAGTGACCTACTTTTCATAAAATTCTGCTGAAGAAATATTTCTGTTACAAGCACTTATAACTTAGGACAGTTGGAGGAATTACCAGGTATACATGAATATTGATTGTGAATTAGGGAGAGTATGCAAATGGAGTTTTTAATTCCCAATAGAATTAGTGAGAACTAAGTGTGCAAATGGCATTTCAATGAGCTAGACTGTGTGCACTTCTCTGTGACATTAATTTTGTCAGATACTGTGCTAAAAATTATAACCTTTCAAAAAGTTCAAGCACCAGTAAAAAATAATAATATCAACAGTTTAAAGCTCGTTTAATAATTTTTCTCAACCCTTTTATGCCAGAAATTTTTAAATCAACAAAGATAAAATAATTTTGAATTAAATTTTTCTTTTCTTTAAATATATATGCATACTGTTGAAGCATTTATATAATTACATAATTTACATTGTGAGTAATTATTGTTAAAATGATTTGAGCCTACAATGTACATACAACTTTAAAAGTCAAATAAGATTAACTAATATTACCTAAACACACACTGTATGAGTACATGCATAAAAAAGCATACTAATTTCTTGTATATATACACTAATTCCAATCTGTGGAGATTTAGAATTTAAAATTATTCACCAATTTCTATAAATATTCACAAGGTATATTTAAATACTCTAGGTACTTTTTACATAAAATGAAAGCAAATGATTGTAAAATGTTATGTCTGAAGCATGCTTATTATGACAAACACGTACACTAGTACTGTATTCAAAAAATGTTACTGCTCACCTATCCTCATCCAGCTTTTTGTGGAGACCAAGCTAAAATTCAAATAAATAAACATAATGTAATGCAGCCATGAAAAATATACTACTGTTTAATTTTATTACAAAATGTTTATTACAAATTATTTATTACTAAATTATGTTAACTGCAAACAAATATATTAAAAATAAAACTATACACACACACTTCAACCAAAGAAATAAGATTATAAAAATATAAATTATGTTGAAATTCAAAATTTCAATAATAAATTATTTGATAATTACATGTAGCTACCTTATTTCTCATTCCATTAAAGTAGCAAAGTTCAAATTCTGGGAAGTATAAATCTAACAATGGTAGAGATTCTGTTAAAGGAAGTGCTGCTTGGATAGCTTCAGCTAATTTCTTCAGATTCCAGTGACAGATTTCTGGTTGTTTGATGAAAGTGTAACGACCACCATCATCTAAAAAATATGAGATATACTTTAAAACCTAAGTTAACATTTTTCCTAAACTGAAAATGTATTTCCAATAACACATACCTCCACTGACACTATAGCTATTTCTTGATCTCCATGGTTTCCACTCTTTGCCCATCTAAGCATTGAAAGTGCTTGTTTCAGTCTTTTATACCACACTCGAATGCCCTTGGCAAATTCTAATTTGTAACATTCTCCACCAACTTCAAAGCACTCTTTATCTAGGTATTGTATATATAAGCACCTCATTCAGATAGTGTAATCACATTTTTGAGACATAAACCAGTTTTTAGTGGGGAGGTAGGGTAGGGTAAGATATTGCTCCTGATGAAAGGGTCTGGAAAATCCAGTGGACTGAAGTTCTAGATCCATTAGTTGCAATGGGACCACTGAAGGGATAGCATATGTCCTCATCCCAAACAATTTCAAGAAATTTGAGGGAAGCCCACAACCCCAGAGATAAAACCATCTCTGTAAGTAAGAGCCTGACTGCCCATTCCATAGCCTGGAGCTGGATGGGAGGTGGCTGAGCCAGGAGTAAAATGTGATGAAAACTTGTACAGCCCAGCAGAAGACATATGGTGCTGATGCTAGATCAAAGGCTAGATCCCTGAACTGCAGAACCCGATTCCTGTATACAAAACATGGCTAAAGGCAAGATGAATTCACTATGAGGATGTGGAGAAATTCCTCAGCAACTTCAAACTTGGACATCCATGGATCTGCTGAATAATGCCAACATAGAATGAGAAAGGACTCTATTGTGGACCAGGGAGGAATGAAGAATGGGTTGAGATGAGAAAGAACAACGATCATCCACGAATCTACCCTTGTCTCAGGCACAACAAATAAACAGAATTAAAATCCCAGAAGAATGGGATCAACTGTTATTACCACCCTGTGATCAGTCTCTCTGATAACCATGAAAAAAAATCCATATCCCACTGTTAAGGTGGAGATGGAAATACCAAAGGGTGAGAGAATAATAGAGGTGGAGAATTGAATGGAAAGACCAACCTCGATACCAGAACCCAAAGTACCCAAGGATCTGCAATGAAGGTATACCAGGTGTCTATCAATAGTTGTAACTGACCTCTCCCACACACACACACCAAGGTTGATACTGATGCTAATGGCATCGATGGGCCCAAATGGAGTGGCCCTAAAACTAAGGTCTGAGTCTATTTAGTTGCTAGAGTCAAAGAAGGTCAAAAGACCCACAACAACAAAAAATGCAAACAGGTGATGGCAATTTGCAATGCAAATGCCTCTGGGACACCTGCTAACATCAAGTGATGATAAAAAGAAGCCATATGTAACATTCAGAGGCTACAGCAGGCAGACAAAGTCTCTTCACCAAGGTATCTCTACAGAAGGAACAAAAGCAGTCAACTTGACCAAGGTAGAAGTCTGTAGGAGACTACAGTAGTCCACAAATTGATGTGGGGACCATTGATAGGCTGCCAACAATTTTCTCAAAAGTCATAGAGAAAAGCCCCCAAATCTCAGAAACCAAAATGACTAATTGAAGAAAAGGAGTAGGAAGTGGGTGATCCAAACTGGACTGGTGAGAAGCTGACCTAGTAAAGAAAAGCATCAGAAAACAAAGTCCAAATTCTTCCTAGAATAACCTGGATCAACAAAAAAAAGCAGCTTCAGAGGCCCCAGGAGAAAATACCCCCAGGATGAATGTATGTTTCCATCTACCAACGGATCAACAGAACAAACCACAGTACTTTATCAGAAAAAAAAATGACCAACAGTTTGTGGAGAAAAAGTGATTACATTATCTAAGTGAGGTGCTTATATAGTGTCAGGATAAAAGGCAAATTGATGCAGGTGGAGGGATTTGCAAACTAAATATTGCCAAGAGCATTTAAGTGAGGCATAAAAGACTGGAGCATGCAAGACCAATGCTTAGATAGGCAAATCCAATGTCAAGGAATAGCTAAAGTGACAGCAGAGGGTAAGAATGTTTTGGAATAAAAGATACTGATAATAACCATGATACAACTCGCTCATTTAAAACCACCAATATTACAGCAAAAAAAGATAAAACAAAAACAAAACAGCCACTTAAACATTCTGTCACATCCAAGTTACTAGAAAAGAATAATGTTATTTCTATAGTTAAAATCCAAAAGAAGCAAGTAGATTTACTTGTATTACAAAAGTTTTCAAGAAAAGAACATTTACAAAGTGATCAATGCCACTCAAATTTAGTGTACAGAACAAAATATTTGGTAAAAATTGACAAAGAAAGTCAACCTATAAAAAACTGATTTAAATTCAAAAACTGTGATTAATTTTCAACAAAAATCTTAAGGTTGAACAATAATTTATAGAAAAAAAGTTAATAAAAATTTCATAAACAAAAAATTGCAGCTCTATTTGTATAAAATTAATAAGCTTAAAACCAGGGGTTCAACATATTTGTAATTTGATGTCAGTTAGATAGCTAACATAAATATACTTACAATTAAACAACAAATTTTACAGGGTTCAAACCCACTAATGAAAACTAAGTGTTATGTTTAGAGGTGATTCAGTTTGCCTGAGTAAATATGTTATGGTTATTGTATGCTTTCAATTTCACATCTGCATCCCTTTGTGAAGCTACAATTTTCAAATTAACCCTTTCTATATGGGTCACAGGTGAAAAGCTACGTCATCTCACATTCAAAATTTTAATGAATTACTATTTCATGAATTTATGTCAATAAGTTTGGTATCAAACTGTATATTATAATTCAAATTTTAGAACTATACATTACTCAATTTGTTAGTTTAAAAGTAAATACTAAAAAACACAGATAAACATCGATTTTTGTGTGTCGTGGTATTTTGAATGCAACACTGGTTCAAATTAGATGTTTGTGAAGTCAAAATACTAAGTATATAGTTTCATACAAATTAGAAACTCAAATTAC